ATTGTGCTGTTTATTTGTTAAACCGCACATCTTCAAGTCAGACACCAAATATTACCCCTATAGAGTTGTGGAGTGGTATAAAACCTTGTTTAGATCATGTCAGGGTGTTTGGATGTGAAGGATATGTACATGTGCCTGGGCAGTTGAGAAAGAAGCTTGACAGTAAAAGCTGTAAGATGATGTTAGTTGGTTATGATAATTCAAACTACAAAATGTATGATCCAATTACAAAAAGAATTACAATATCAAGAAATGTTATTTTCAATGAACATAAAAGTCCTGAAATAAATAAGAATGAAGCTGAAATTTTAATATATGATGATAATGAACAAAATGTTGAAGAGGAGTTGGATAATACAGAGTTGACTGAGAGTGATGAAAGTACACATACTGCCATTGATGAAAATGATGAGACTTATGAACCTTCGCAGGAAATTGAACTTTCAGATTTGGATCAGTCAAATATTACTTTGCGTCCGCGTAGACATAATGTTTTTGAGGCAAATTTAATGGAACTGAATGTACCTGCAAGTTACAATGAAGCAATTAACTGCGAAGAGAGTGAGTTGTGGCTAGAGGCCATTAATGAAGAATTAGAAGCTCATCGCACTAATAACACTTGGAGTTTTGTGGATAATGAAAACCAAAGAACTATAACATCAAAATGGGTATTTAATATTAAAAGAAACAAAGATGGTAAAGTAGAAAGATATAAAGCTCGACTTTGTGCCCGTGGTTTCACTCAAATTGAAGGGATAGATTACAATGAAATTTTTTCACCTACTACAAGATATGAATCAATAAGAATACTGTTGTCTATCTCTGCTGAATATAATTGGAACTTAAGGCAATTAGATGTTAAGACAGCTTTTTTATATGGAGATTTAGAAGAGGATGTTTATATGGAAATTCCAGATGGAGTGAAAGCACCAGCAAATAAAATATGTAAATTAAATAAATCCCTGTATGGCCTGAAGCAGGCATCTCGTTGCTGGAATCAAAAATTTACAAATTTTCTAGTTAAGTTTGGTTTTGTTCAGTCACAAGCAGACAATTGTGTCTTTGTAGGCAATTTTAATGGTATTAAAGCTTTGCTAATATTATATGTAGACGATGCTTTAATAATGTCGCAGTCAAATTTTATATTAGATCAAGTTGTTGACTATTTAAAGCAAGGATTTGATATTAAAGAGTTAATTTTAAGTCGATTTGTTGGCTTAGAAATTTTAAAGGATAATAATTCTGTTTGTATTAGTCAAAGACAATATATTGAACAATTAATAAGTAAGTTTAATATGAGTACAGCATACTCAAGCAGTACACCAATTGATGTAAATGTTCAGTTAACTAAAAATGTTGACAATAAGCAGATTGATTTTCCTTATAGAGAGGCCATAGGGTCTTTATTGTTTTTATCAACAGCAACTAGACCAGATATTTCATATGGTGTAAATCTGTTAAGTAGATATAATCCTGGTATACATCATGTTAATCAGCTGAAGAGGATTATTAGGTATCTTATAAAAACTAAAAATTTGTGTATAAAGTATCAAGGTCATGAAAGTTTAATTGGATATTCAGATTCAGATTATGCTGGAGATTTAGATACAAGAAAATCAACCAGTGGCTATATTTTTATGTTGAATGGTGGACCTATTTCTTGGTCTAGTCAAAAACAACCTTGTGTAGCTTTATCAACAACTGAAGCTGAATTTGTGGCTGGTTGTGAAGCTGCTAAGAATCTTTTATGGTTAAGACTGTTTTTCAAAGAAATTGATATAATTCAAGATTGTACAACTTTGTGTATGGATAATCAAAGTGCAATCAAACTGATAAATAATCCTGTCTATCATAAGAAGACAAAACATATTGATGTTAAATTTTATTTTATTAGGGATATAGTAAAAAAAAAGTTAATTAATATTAAGTATGTGCAAAGTTCAGAGCAACTGGCTGATATTCTCACTAAAGCTCTATCTACTGGTAAATTTGAACATATAAGAGATGAAATATTGTCAGTTATCTAAGTTAAGTTTTTTTAAGGCAGGCAATGTGATATATTTTAGTTTATAAAATTTAGTGGGAGTATTGGATGAAATTTTATAAAAGGAGTTTGAATATGTTTTGTTTATCTTTGTCTTGTTTTTATTTTTCCATTGTAACGCTAGGTGGCGGCATTGTGTGTGCATTTTGAATACGGCGACTGTCATGTCGTTGTAAAATTTTTCTTATAACTTTTATTAAAATAAAACGTTTAAGTTGTGTCAGAAATCTTGTTTATTAACCTGATTCAAACATATCCCACGTTGGAGATTACATTACCGGATGCCAAAACATTCGCTCACCCCCAACCACTGAATTTCCAATCTTGAAATTCCTAATAAAACAACAAAAGGTCAATAACGCATTTGTAACTCCTTTGGTGCTGCGGCCATGGACATGGATGGCGCCGATAATTTCCGGTGATCCGTCTGTCATAAAAATAGGTTTCACGAGTTATGTTTGCATTAATTTTACTTTTTTAATAATCTTTTTAATTCATGGCGTAAAATAAATATGAATAATTCCTCAATACTACTATAGGTTTAGTTTGCATAAAAATGATTTTTTTTTAGTAAACAAAAGTCCATACGAACTCTAACTTTTCATTAGGTTCTAAAAATATTCCGTGTAAAACTGTACATTCAATTTTGAAGGTACAGAATTCAGAAATTGAAAAATCCAATCACACTTACTTTATCCAAGAACTGATCCCAAGATTGTAGTCAGTTGCAATATTGGGAAAAATATATATGTAACATAGGAAATAAAAACATTTATATCTAAGTGCGAATAATCGCGAAAGCGAATAGGTCGGCTCGACCGGAGTGATATCACGGCCTCACAGAAAACAGCGTTGTGTTTTGCCGTGTGAGTAAGGTTACCGGAGGTCCAATCCCTCACTCTCCCCTATCCCTTCTCAATCCTTACATCCACACCCCTTATCCCCAAAAGGCCGGCAACGCACTCGTAACTTCTTTGATGTTGCGGGTGTCCATGGGCGGCGCCGATTGCTTCGTATGCTCGTTTGCCGATTTTACTCCAAAAAAATTATAATACTTACATTTTATAAATTTTACACAGAAAACCAAAACGTAAAACATTGTTTTCCTTTAGACACGGAATAATATTGTGTATGAAATGTTAAAGCTGAAATATACTCGATAATACGGCGGTGGGTTAACCCTTGAACATACATCAAGTGGACTAAGACCCCAGTCGAACATACTCGTAGCGTGGTATCTGTGCGCGATAGGGCCGAAATATACCGCTCTCACTGTTTCCTTTCATTTAGATACGCTCCGTTTCGGTCCTTTATCCCCTTTCCTCAATTTTGTCTTCATCTTTTTGCCCCACTTCCTCGGCCGCATTACTTAATACAATGAAATTTTTGTCCTTAACTTGCTTGAATGAATGCTTTTTGGGGATTATTTTTTTTTGCTGTTGATTCCAGTCGAATTTGTCTCACTCTTATTTTATAATTTAAAATAGATTTGATTTATTTAAATTGTTTTTTGTTCTAATTCCATTGAAATGATACGCATAATATTCCTCATTGGTTTTATTACTAGGTCTGTATTCTTATAAATCGTTAGGTAACATATTTAAATACATCTACAATTTGATAGTTTATTACACAACCCTTTTGTTAACTACTTTTAAAAGATGGCGACGTTCGAAACCGTTGCCAAAGTAATCTGAATACATAAAATGTATTTTTGGCTGTCAAGACGTTACAAACATAACATTAAATTCATAATTATTATTTACATTGTTAATATTTACAATTGATCAGCTATTATGTACAGGATACGAGCTAAATCTTATTTAAACATGATTTCATTTAATAAATCTTTAAAATACAAATGTACCAATGTCTATAAATCATCTAGAGAAAATTAACATTTTATACAATTTTAACTTGCCTTTGACAAGCATTTTATTTTAGTTTTAAACAGATGTTAACATCTAAAAAGTAACAGAGATTTAATATTGACATAAGTAGTAGCAAAATGTCTCAAGTTTTTTTTACTCGAAAACTCGTCAAATTGTTTTTGTTCGCTGCTGACATAAGTAAGGGAAGAGAAAGCAGAAATAAAAACAAAATGGACTGAGAGCAATGTTTAGTACCTATCTGCCAGATTCGCTACATGAAATGAACTTGAAACAAATGAAGCCTAAGGTACGTAATTTGTTTCTTGCTGTCACTCGAGACAACTTTTTGGAACGATGCCTTTTATTCTAGCCAGTAAAACAACCCTAATTCTAAACTTTGATTGTGTAATTTTATTCCGGAGTAAGACAGTGGAATGTGAAAAAGTCAGACGAATTCACAAAAAGGTATGCGCAGTTTAAAAGTCCAGGGAATTTGTGTTGGGATTTTTGTGAAGAGCCCGTATCTCTATTATGGTATAGTTGGAACACAAATTTTGTGGCGACAAGCTTGGGAAAATTCTGAACATTTGAAGAGCTCATGCTAACGTTACTTGATGACAACGTTACGCCAAGAGACGTTGAAGGCTCATTACAAAGCCACTCAAAGATTGACGACTTCTATAAATTCTTCGAACTTTCGTCGAAACCAAAGTAAAATCGGTCTGTGGTGGCTGAGAAATCAACTCAATTTAGTCCCATTTTATGTTTGAGCGCACTGGAGATGAAATCGTTTGAAGATTGGGTCATTCTTTTGGAAAACATTTAGTCCTTAGGTACTGAGATTTCCTTTACAAATTGCAACAAGAAAATTCTAATATCTCGTCAACAACCAATTGTTTCATAAAATATGGCGTCGCAATTTAATTTCTGAACGTTCAATCTATTCTTTAACTCAGACATTAAATCAAAATAAACTGGTTTGAGACAAATTAAACAAAAATGATAATAAAATATCAATTAATTTAAGTTTTTTAAGAAAGTTTGTTTTAATTTCAACTTTGTCATTCAACTTTTTAAGAGTCAACATTTTTAGAAGACGAGATTACTGTTTTTCTTTGTTTAATGTTAATGAGAGTTGTAAATACGAAGTATGTGTATTGTATAATACATATAATTTAGTAGTAACCAGCAATACTAATCGCTTGTATGCATTAGTACAGGCGTTGTTTGTTCAACTTGATCGAACGCAAATAATGTGGCAAAGAGAGCAACCAGCAGCTTAGGTATACGTTACGCATAGATAAGCTTCACTTCGATTGAATCTCGGTATATTCCTGTGTTGGACTAACAAAATCGATTTGCTTGTAATCTCGGCACCGGATTTAGACGACGAACGTAGTTAGCTGTGAGAACAAAGGAGATTCAGCTTCAGATAAATCATCAGAAGGATTATCTCATGCGTGCCGTATTAATCTGTCTGGTCGTTATTTATCGAAATTACTAAAACGATCTTGTCTGTTACAGATACAATAGAAATTTGGAGATTTATAAACAACAATATCATTTTTTAAATTGACCATTATGCTATTGATTTATCGCCTTAAAATTACCTCACAGGAAACATTACTGTCTATATTTATCGTTGTATTTTAAATACGTTCAACTCAGATAACGTAATCCGAGGGTCCGACACAATATCGCTTGTTCACTCAATCATATAAAATACTTCCTTAGTTTAAAACGTTTGGGAAGTCGCGTTTGCACTAATAGGTCATCTTGAAGATGTGGGTTCGATGTGAGCTGTCGTAAATTTTGATAGGAATTTGACGAGAGCGTTGGCGAATAGTAGGGTAATGAGTAGTGTTGGGATGGAGACATAGTGCGCGGCGACCGGGAGAGTGACGAGGAGAGCTGGTCGTGGCTGGCGCAGCGTAGTCAGCGTGGTGAGCGTGGCGAGGATAGCACGGTTGAGGCGTGGCGGCGTCGAGCCCGAGCTCTGCATCGCCGCCGGCCGCTCTCCGCTCAGCACGTGGACTATCACCGACGCAGATTCTGTATAACAAAGTTGTGTCATAAATCATCTTATCTTATGTCACGTCCCTTTATCGATTGTTCGTGGGTACCCCTGATTGTTCGTAAATGATACATAGGGCGGATGAATCCCGCCCCTTAAAACGTGGCAGCAGTTAAGTACAATAATACTAAGTAATTGAGCACTACTATGAGAACCCTTTCAAAGTGTTAATCACTACTTGTATTATCTTCTTTAAAGCTATAAGACATTAACATATTAAACTCTTGTTTGAGATTATTTTGCATCATTTGAATAGCGGATTTTTTATGAACAAAGATAAACAAATTTAGAACATATGAGTGCATTTTTCAAACCAAAAGTTTGTTAAACCTTGATAAATCAAATGTCTTAACGTACTGCTAGCCTACATTTTAAAGTCGTTTTATTAAGTATACGGTGGCGGCAGTAATGCATTAACCCAGAAACAAAATATGAACACTTCATTATGTTAATTGCGTGCTGCATTGTAATCACAAATAAATACAGTAATTTTCCGTAAGTGACGGAATTGTTAGAGAAATATTTTCTGAATTTGCAAACAACATCAAACATTGACTTTTCTTTCAGTAGTGCCATTAAACGACGTCAATTAAAAAGTTGGCAGCAGTTTAAACAGTCGTGGGGTAATTCTGGAACATAGCAATAATGTTGAGCTACTGTGTAAGAATCCAGACTGGAATAATTACACAGCAGTTTGCAGCAAATCCTTGTAATGAATAATTTTAATACGAAGGCACTGAATACGGCAATCTGTGAGCTGGTATTGTACCGGTACAGAGGGTTTCATTTCAGAGGGAAAGAGGGATTTAAAAATACATTCTACGGGAATGGCTCCAGTTCCATATTTAAATATTACGTTTATGGTATTTTATATTTATGATGCTCATTTTTTTATAATACCCATGACGAATACGTACGTTTGTCTTCCTGAACCAGTAATATAGACAAGCAAGTATAATTTTTTCAATTTTGTTTTCGCTGGAATATTCGTGATCTTTTACTAGATCGCTAAAATGAATTGTGTTTTATAAATGAACTAAATAATAAACTGAACCGAATAGTTGATCCCTTCAATAATGAGGGTAAAATCGATAGTCGTAACAATGAAATATTGACCCATTTCCCGACTCTAATCGGTTATAAAATTTATGCGTCTGCCCTATTTCTCAGTTCAAACGCTATGGTGTTTGGGCTCCTTATAATTAAAGAAATAATTAACATGTATTTGAGGTAATATACTACTAAAATACGAGCGCGATTTGGGTAACACAACAAAAGGTAATGATTTTCCTAATAGCTAGAGGCAAAAATTAATTTGATTGGCATACTTTTTGTGAGTTTATTAGTTATTATTAGTTACAACAAAGAATCTTTCTAGCTAAAAACATCTTTACATCGTTATGACAAGACAATAAAATTACTCAAGATAGCGGATAAGTAGTTTATGTAACTGGTAAATATTGCTGATTATAATGAATGACAATATAGGTTTAACTATGATATTATAGTCAACATTTCGCTACGTATTTCGTAGTCTATTACTACGCCGTAGTACATTGCTACGAAGACGCTTCGATGAATACTTTGTATTAAAATTATTAGAGAGTGTGGTAAGATGGGTTCTATTGTTAAATAAAATTAAGTTTATTTTACAATATTCCTTACCTGAGCTGCTTGGTGCGCACGTATAGTTTCCTGAGTCATGAGGGGCGGCGCGTGCGATTAGCAGACGGCTGGTGCGAGTTCGCTGCTCAGTCTCCACGCTTATGCCGCCGCGTTGAGCGTAGTTCACCACTTGTTCACCTCGGTACCAGTAGATGAAGCTAGTGGACACAGATACAAGTTAATAAAAACAGATACACACTTATTGTGAAACAATAAAAAAAGTCAAGATTTTCGACTGATTTATTTAAGTATTCTATTAATATTTCTAATTTGTTATATTAATTTTAATAAGTAGTCACATAGCTTTAATTTTATTCAACGTTACAAAAATAAAACATGAAAAGGTAATTCTTGGGATGGTAAAGACAATTTCAAGCTAAGTAATATTTTCTTGTAACTACCATACCATATACATAGTATGTATGTACTTTATGATGTTACCTCTAAGTCCTCATTAAACTCATGTCAAATATATATTAATTACGTGTAAAGCTACAAAAAGAGTGCATGCTATGGTGGTAATGATGTTCTAGACCCAATCTAGAATCAAATCGAAAACTGTGTACATCTTACATTGAAACATCATCGCATAAAACCTAAGCCAAATCCGAAGCCTTACAATATTGACGCTCTCTATATTTGCCTACGGGCACGAACAGATTACTTGATTAAAATTTCATCGTGTCTATTAATGTACAAAGGTTCTAATTTAAGACATTAACAAATTTCATTCACGAAGATTACAAAGCATTAAAATTGACAAACTTAAATACAAAGTTTTGAAACAAACTTGATAGGATTGCTTTTAATTATTTTCGTATAGATTGTGTACATAAATCCAACACCTTTGGCCGCCTCACTCGACTATAATTACAGGTATTTACCGTTACACGCCTATTCATTACGTCCAAGGATGTGTTTTCTACTGAACCCTGTAATTTGAGTTTAATGAGCGCTATATTTGGGTCACACTGTTTCAACTACTAAGAAATGTATCTGACACATTGGAAATGTGAAACTTCGTCTCACTTACTGGATTATTTATTAGTCCCAAACGTTTTTCGGGCCTGACCTCAGCCATTTATCCCGTTTATTTATAAATTCACTTAAAAGAAAGATACGAGCGCTTTAGGATTTTTCAATTTATATTCATTCATTTTCCATTGTGCTACGAACTTCTATTTGCAGGGAAAAATATGCTTTGTGAGCGTCGTACTCATAATAATCACGAGTCATGTGATACTTCACAAACAAAAGACAAAACGCTATATGAGAGTAGTGAGTGTCACACCACAGTTACTGCGAAAAATACATTAATTATATGTTCGTGGGCTTGCCTCAATTAACACAGCGAAAATGTTCGGGAACTTTGTAATTGAGTGAGTATACCTATAAATAATTCACGAAACATCTGAATAAAAAACGATATCTGTCCACACAGAGCGTATCGTCTTTTCAATATTCAAATTGAAGGTCTCTCGATGGATCTCAGACATAGGCCACCATTAAACGTTGATAGCCAAAGAATACCTCACTTAGGGACCTCAGCCGACCCTTTTATCTGAAAATAAGCTTATCATGTTTATGGATGCGAAGACTAAATGTATAGGTACGGTGCGGTGTGAAAAGGTGGCTACACGATAACACACTTCCATTATAAGATCGTAAGGTGGGGGGCGGGCTCGCCTATTCACACCACAACGATTTGTGTCGCCTATTTATTTAGAGGTACACAACCGCAAACATCAATAGCGAAAATCGAATTTTTTGTCGCCTGTATTATTTTTAGCCGTATTTGTTTTACATACACGCGTAATTAATTTACGCTAACGTTTTTGAACACGGATCGTGTTTTGTGTTCGCGTATAAAATATACGTAGAGTCTGGTTGTCGTTCTGCTTTATTAAAATTTTATGTTTCATTTTTTTTGTGAAAGTCAGTTGTGTCAATTGTTTCAGTCGAAATAAAGGTCTTTGTTTGCTAGTAAACTAGTAGTAAAAAGTGTTGCAACCTCCACAATTACTGTGACGTCGGCACGTTGCCCAAAAATGATACTTTTGTAGGTCACAGAGTGCGGGCAAATTTGATCTAACTGAACAAGATGGTCTCATTACACATTTGTCACGTACGCTGACACAAAAGTCCCGCTCGAGAGTTATTTCTTACTTCCTCGTTTTTTATGTTGGCAACCCACACTTTCATGTTACTGCCCAAACCGAGTGGGAATATAGCACCTTTTCCATTTCCTTCATAGGCCATATAAAAGTCAAAACGTTCTTGCTTTCGTATTTTATATCGAACAACTTGTTTAAGAAAGTTGGTGTAAAAAGCAGAATTTACTTCAATAGAATTTAATGAAACCACAAAAAATACTGGAATAGCCTGAATAAACATTGCTTTTTCAGCTTCGTACACAAAATGAGAGCAAAAAATAAAGGAGAAAGGTAAAAACAAATTACGAAGTTAATAATGTCTAGAAAGTGTATTATAAAATAAAGGAAGAATTTTGCAGCGATTAATCTAGTTTTTTAATGTCTAGAGCTAGCAGGATGTCTAGATTTTTCGCATTAGTTACCTTGGCGGGTCAGGGGCGTACTTCGCCACGCAAGTAAGATTGATGTCTGATCCAGCTCTGACGAACAGCTCCGGTCCTGAGAGAATCTCCGCCTTTGACACTGTTGAAGAGCACATACTATAAAAATACATGTTAAACGAAAATTTATTATTATCTATACTAATATTGTAAAGAGTTAAAATTTGTAAGTTTGTTAGTTGGTATGTAGAGGGTAATCTTTGGACCCGTTACCTGGTCGGATTGCCAAAATTCTTTCATTGATAGATAGCTCCAATGTTCCTGAGTGCTATAGGCTATAAAACACGCGCGACGATCAAATGGAGCTGAGCAGCGGGTGAAACCGGGCGAGAGTAGCTAGTCTTACATATTTAAAGGAACTCTCTTCCATCAAATGTAATACATTGTTTCCATCCCGACTGATTGAATGCACTGGGATTTAGGGCGAAGTTTATGTACTTGGTTTTGACAAAAACTACTTCAACGAAGCGTAGATCAGCATATAGCTTCGATTTTGCAGAAAAAACAAATCTAGATATCAGGATAGTTCTACTATAGGAAAACTCATGAATATGTTAGTGTATACCTACTTACATATTTATTTACATTTAGTCATCGTTATTTATTTAGCTACGGACGCTATACCTATGCGACCTTAGGGTCTTATAACACCAGAGATTTAAGGGCTGAACGAGAGGAAAGCCACGATTTTTCTCGAACTTGACGAGTTGCGTAATAGAGGTATTATGTGTAACCTGGGGCTAGTCGGGTAAAATACGTGATTTTATATAAGTGTCAAAGCTACTAAGTATTTGAAGCTCGTCGGGACGTCTCTTTTTATGAAGAAGCAAAATCAGTAATTGACTTCTCTATGCCGGGGTATGGCGAGAGGGTGTGTCAGACTCTTACTGAATGAAACCCCCCGTTTCTTCTCCTTTTTTGGTCGAGGCTGCAGTACCTTATTGCTTAAACTGCAACCCCGGTTGAGTTTGTCACGTCATGGGAGTCATGTGCACTTTTTTCTCTTGGTTGGATCAATATTTTGACAAATGATAATATACTTTACTTTGTAGTGATCAGGATAATTGGTAGCGCGATATTTTGATGAGTTGATATGTTATTAAAGGATTACAAACAGTGTATTTATAAATAACCATTGACCACATTCACTCACCCGACATTCATTTAAAGCTAACTCCATAATAAAGTTGCGACTGTGATGTTATGCGCAATTTTAACCGTCATTTCAATTCATAATGCCAAAATTTCATAATACTTGTAAATGAATAAATGATGCCAGTAATTTATGAATTACATTGGATTTTAATAATTATACACTACCAACAATGTTTTCAGTTTTCAATAAAACTGTTAATTTGTGGCATTTACTAATTAGTATCGACATGCAGCTGAATAATTAAATAGTCGTGTGCTTTTTGATGGCAATGTTGAACTTGTTGATAAATCGTTACTATTCCCCAAATGGGGTAACAGAAATGTATTTACGCTATTACACTGACTCTCATTTTGAATCTGCTAATGTATTTGTGACTCAGTAGTCTTTTAATAACAAAGTATTGTTCACAGTTTAGGTACTACAAATTCTTAAAATTCACGCTCTCAACAAAACTTGAAGTTTTTAACAGTAGAATAAATAATATGACTTTTAAAAAGTAAACGTGTATTTAGTTTCACTCTCTGGAAAGGCGTAAGGTTCCTTGTATGTTCCTTTAATGCGCATTTAGAATTACTCGTATTAAAAATCCTGGTTGGTTCGATAACTATTAAAATAATGCTTTGGACAGAATCTTGGCATCGAGACTGAATCGATTTACCGGGTTAGCGCTCAAGTAAACTGCTTAATCAGCAGACATACCTAACCGCTTGAATAACTACGGAGTTCCCAAAATTCTTATCGTTTTACGTTTTTAATTTATCTATGAGTAATAAATCATATTCGGTTTTTTAATTTATATCCTAAATTGGACTTTGATTTATATTGGTTTAAGGTTAGTTTTCGTAACACTTACCGACAACCGTGAGTCGAAACGACAGACTAATCTTTGGTTCAGTAGACACTTGGCACTCGTATGCGCCGGAGTCGCGTGGCTGCGCGGGCGCCACTCGCAGCGTCCATTCATCAGAGCCATCGGCATGTAGCGCCGCGAATCTTGCGTCACTGCTGTATGTGTGCACACCCACTGTCAAGATGTGAAGGTCTCGCTTGCGTATCCATGATACCTGGTGACAAGTTTGTGATTATTAAAATTTTCACTTTTTTTAATTACAATTTTGATATAGGGTATCCCCGGTTTAGCTACCCGCTTCGGAGGATTCATGAGGATTCAAAACCACCAAGTAAAAGTTAGTCCACCAAGCCAAAATACCAATGTAACATTTTCTGAGTCGTATGTATGTACTTTATAAGTATATTTATTTTCGGTACCAATGAGAGAAACGGTAAAGGAAAAAATCGTCAGAAACCTTGAATTTTAAAATTATAATTTTTCTAATTTAATGTTTTATACTTATCGCCAATCCGCGATAACCAAGGGTGGTGCTTAATGCTCAAATATTGTCAGTGTGAGAAGAGACTTTTGCTCAACCGTGGGCACTTATAGGCTAATTATGACGGTGATAGGGGATTTAATATTAAGATTTGTAGTTTGCTATTGTAAGAGTGCGGTTACATATAAGAAAAAAGTGGGAGTTTCTGTGTAATAAATACCCACAAGTGCGCACCCACGTTAGCTAATACTAACATCGGAATGCGACGTAAAAAGGCAACCTTATTATGTTATTGAAGAGGCAATGCCCACATGCGCTTATTAATTTCACATCATCAGAGGTATTTCAAAAGAAGTCAACAATATTGTAACTGAGTAGGTAGAATAATACTAAAATACTTGACTGGCGTTGACCTATAACTTTTCCACAGTGAGTGTTTTTACACACAGGCTTTTTATTTAAGTTAAATTCTTCAAAAGACTTATCGAAACTTCAAACCTATATTATAAATGCGAAAGTAACTTTCTGTCTGTGTTTTTTTTACGCTTAAACTATTGAACCTATTTGTGTGAAATTTGGTACAAACATAGTTTGGAACTCGAGAAAGGACATAGGATCGTTTATTAACCAAAAATCTGCAGGAAGTCAGTATTTTACGCGAATAAAGTCGCGGACAAAAGCTACTATGATATATATATATAGGGGAGATTTCATGGGGCGAGGGAAGTGTCTAGACTGGTTTTGGGTAAAAATACTATATACTAGTATAGGCCCTCGCCTTTTTACTCCGGTTTTTTATGTGATAATACGGCAAATGAGTAAATACATTGGTCACCCACTACACCAAAGAAATTACGTTAGTTTGAAATTTGAGAGTGTAGTGTTTGGTAATTTGATAAGGAGGGCAGGTAGAGTAGGGTAGGTAGAGTAGGGTAGGTAGAGTAGGGTAGGTAGAGTAGGGTAGGTAGAGTAGGGTAGGTAGAGTAGGGTATGTAGAGTAGGGTAGGTAGAGTAGGGTAGGTAGAGTAGGGTAGGTAGAGTACGGTAGGTTGCACAGGGTTGGTAATTAAATGACGGGAGCGACGCCGCGGGTTAGAGCTAGTTTAATTATAAACAAAACTAAAATATGACTAATAATTTATCCCGTTAATCAAAAATATTCTAATTCGATTAGACACTAAGCAACTACCTATTAAATATTGCTAAATATTAACTTTACTTAGAAATTAGTTCTGTTGTACATAGAATTGTCTACAAGTTTAGCTTGGCTTAAGTACTTTTCCGTAGTTCATGACTAAACTAACAAAGCCATAAAGTACACGCATAAAGTTAAATTTTAATTTTCTGTTTCTTCCTAAAATAAAACAGTTATTAATATAAATTATTCTAGTATCAACTTAAAGTTCTTACTTGTATACATTTTCTCTTCCTTGAAAGTATCGTTCAAGGGACGGTTGTGGTGTTACATTTTACTTAAAGTGTGGGAGAGCCAAGCTTCGCGATGAATGGGTCGGCCGGAGTGATAGCACGGCATCACAGAAAATTCTTTTAATTTTATATGAGTTTGATTACTAATGTCATGATATTTTTTTTGCATCAAAAAGCATATTCATGTGTGTTAAAAAATATCAGCCAGGTTTGGTTTTTAGTCAGTAAGAGTCTGATATTTTCTCTCACTCCACCCACGGTGGGAGAAGTCACGTAATGGTTTCTTCCACCTCAAAAAAGAACTCAAAAATTGCCAGGAAAATAATATAAACAATATTTATTGGTACCGTTATAATAATTAGATTTTTTTTTTATATTATCATATTGAAAAATTTAAATTATTTATTTATGACTCCTAGAAAGTTATTCTACCTATAACCTAGTTAATTATTCTTATACTCAATTACTAATTACTATAAGAGAGCGAGAGAGAGAGAGAGAGAGAGAAAGAGAAAGAGAGAGCAACTCCAGAAACTTGTTGTCGTTAAGAGGGTACCTACTAATACACTCACATACTAACTCAATTATCGAAACCAACAAAATAACAAGAACCAATAATTTAACGACTTAAAGTTACAGTGGCCTATAATTTAGTGCTCTTGATTGAAATTACTGACTTCTACCCACGTACGTGTTAGGTCTCAAGTTAATCACAATGAATACTTAATTGCGAAACCAAATGTCTCTTCTCCACTTCTATTAATAACCACAAAGGTAGTAAAAGGTTCCCATGATTAATTTCACGCCTCCATATTGATAAGGCGTAATTAAATTGTATATGGTAGGCTTGACTGTGTTATTCGACGAATAATAGCCGAGTGTGCTAAGCGACAATTCTTGGCTTCTTTTCCAGAGTCCAGAGCCAAATATACCTTACACACAATAACTTTATTTTTTAAAGATTTTCCATTAAAAAGATCTTACCTACTACTACCTAGCAACAAATACTGTAAGTGTGGGGGAGTCATGCTTCGACACGAATGAGTCGGCTCAACCGGAGTGATATCATGGCGTCCCAGGAAACCGGCGTAAAACAAGTATAGCGTTTCAGATCGCTGTGTGAGTGAGGTTACCGGATGCCCAATCCTTTCTTTTCCACAATCCTTAAATCTTCGACACCCTACTTCCAAAAGGCCCATCCATGTAACTCCTTTGATTAAGCGGGTATCCATGGGCAGCGCTGATTGCTTACCATCAAGTAATCCGTGTTTGTCAGTTTGCCATCCTATTAAACAAACAAACAAAGAAATAAAAAGTATTACATGAAAAAAGCTCATTCCATATTAGATGTGACTCATGACTCACTATGTATAACTAGGGAGTTATGTTGTATACACACACTTCTCTACATTGCCATACATTATTAAAATATTCCATTATATAAAAATCTTTGAAAATAAAAGTAGCTTTGATCAAACTTAGAAGGTAGGTATGTAGGTATTTGCGTATTACCAGTACAAGGACGAATTAGGTTGTATCGAGCTGTGGAAAGTTTTTCGTCTCTTGAGATATTTTTAAGACTAAAAAAAAGATAAAAAGTCGTGGTGGCCCGGAGCTTAAGGAGCCCGCTTCTCATGCATGCGGGTGTGGGTTCGAAACTTTCCGAGTTATATGTACTTTCTATGATTATTTAGACACCACTGACATACGGTGAAGGAAAAAATCGTATGGAAACCTGGACTTATAACTTCTTATTATAAGTTTGAAATCGCCAACCCGCATTAACAAGCGTGGTGATTAATGCTCAAACCTTACCTGTGTGAGAAGAGGCCTTTGATCAGCAGTGGACACTTATAGGCTGATGATTGTGATGATGATGAAAAAAAGTTTGTGTGGATTTCGTCGCCAAGCGAAGATTGTTGCTTGTTTCAATTTGAATAGGTACTGACTTAGGTCTTAAACTTCTAATCGGTTGGCTCAATTATCATAGCTTTGAATGAACATTTTTAAAGAAACAAAAATGTTTTAACTGACTAGGATTTATTTTCATTTTTCCACTATTGATTTTGTAAGATTTGATTAGTCTAGTGGATTGGCGTCATGCGTTAGTGTCGGCCATCGCTGAAAATCAGCGCCGCGACACTGTCTCGTATGGGGTTGCTGCATAATGCTGAGCGAGGGCCATTTCGCGTGCTTGGACGCATATTTTTCTTCTGCCCTCTAATTTTGTTTTACCATGCTTTATGTATTTTAAAGTTTTACCTTTTATTTGTTTTATTCATTTAATTGCTTGCATTTTTTGTTTTTACACGTTTTTCGAAAAGATATTAAATTAACAGATCGCACTTTCAAAATCTTACTTAGGACCTAGTGAACTCTTCTAAAGGTGAGCTTAGATTTATTGAATGAAATAATGAATTTATTTTTGCAATTAGAACACAAAACTGCCCTTAAACACGTCGAATGAAAAAATGTGCTGCTAAATATCAGCTCGCGACGATAGTGTGAACTAGTGCGACCGGATAGTACTTTCACGCACTTTTCAGACCTGGACCTCTTTAGATGTCTACAGGTATTTTTTTTATGTGATAGGTCGGCAAACGAACAGACGGATTACCTGATGGCAAGCAATCAGCGCCGCCCATAGACACCCATAACAACAGATTTTTGGGGATTAGGGATTTGGAGATTGGGCCTGCAGTATCCTTACTCACACGGCGAAACAAAACGCTGTGGTTGTTTCACGCCGGTTTTCTGTGAGGCCCTGGTATCACTCCGGTCGAGCCGACCCTTCGTGCCGAAGCAAGGCTCTCCCAAATTTACGGTACTAATGAATATATGAAATAATCATGGGACTCGGGGCGCTGACAGAGGTGGCGTCAATAGGCAGGCGCTCGTGACTGGTGTCTCTAGTAAAATATGTATTAATTGATGTGACTTATTCCCCGAGGACATAGGTACGTTACAGGTACTCGATGGAGTAATATTGAACTTTACGGTTGGTTTACTATTTTTATATGTATAATAAATAGTTGGGTAGTGAATAACATAGAAGCTGTTATAATTTTTAAGTGTTGTTTTTTTATTTATGAAAATAATGACTTACGTGATTGAATTGAGAAAAGCGCTACTAGTTTCAAGTCAAAACGGGACTCTTAATGAGCCGCCGTTGGGCGCAAGTTCGAGTAATCATACTCGAACTTGCGCCCAACGCAACGTCTTCCAGAAAAGCTTTTCTCAGTGTCTTTCTAGTAGAGCTTTCTCAGTTCATTCAGGTGAGTAAGTCGGTATTTTGAATATATTAT